ATTCATCTTTAATTATATTCATTATGAGTAGACCAAACACAAAAAGGGCCTGCCTAATGAAGTGGGGCCCATTTAGCATTTTCTCAGATGATGGTTGTTATCGAGTTTTCAGAAAGTTTGTTTGAAAGGTAAGAAATTTTTTTCCCTTCTTAAAAAACGAAATATTACACATTAAACATTAAAAAAAAAAGATAGAAAATGAGGACTTAATAAGAGATTAGGGCCCCATTTTACTTTTTCATCACGTGCAGTCATTTTTTTAAAAATATACATCAAAATATTTAGTTTTTAAGCTTAAGTATTCCGAGACGAGTTACCCAACCGTTAGATCGCGACCCACTAGGACACGAATAAACGAGGTTGAAAATTGCAATTTTTAGGGCCTTTAGAAATAAATTAACCCGGTTTCTAGGACATAAATTCCATAGAAAAGACCTTTAGAATCGTAGTATCTACTGTAGAAAGCCTTAGCTTATCATATCAAGCCTGTTAAAAAACACTCAAAAATTTAAAGTGGGGGCCCCTTTATGAAGGGTCGAGCGGGACCCCAAAAGGGATTTGTTTTTTTTTTTTTTTACATTAAGATCCCCCAGCGAAAATAATTGTCTTCCGCTCATTAATTTGGCAATGAGAGGTAGAGGTAGTGTGTCGAGGGCACCTCAAGGAATGCGATACGGGAGATAAGGACAGGTAAAGGGGCCCCGGGGGTTCCATTATCAGATTGTCACCCTCGGAAAAATAATACATCTTAAGAGAAGAAGAAGAAGGAGAAGAAGAAGGAAAAAAAAAGGGACGAGGAAGTGTTTATTATGCATGGATTATTTGGTGCATCCCCAAAAGGCATGGGCAGGGATTTAGAAAAATGTTACAGAGGGGGGTTGTTAATTTTTGTGTAGTCCTACATTTTCAATATTTGCTAATATGCGGGGACAGGATCTTCTTCTCTACTTAATTTTACATTTTAATAGCTTGTAGATCTTTCTTTCGATAAGGGAGGGTTTAATCAGTAATCAATTAAGGCGAGAGATAAATATTCTCCCCCCTTTTTTTGTGTGTGTGTGTGTCTGTGTATAGAAGGACCGGTTGAGTTAATTTTGGTGCAGATACCTTCAACCTTTCGATTTCTAAGGCATTTTAGAAGGAAAAAAAATGTATCTTTTGGGGGTTTTCCCCTGTTTTATTAGTTAGTTTGTTCTCTTTAACAGAGTTAATACTTGCCAAATATATCAGTAGGATATACGGTAATTTAAAGGATAATGGTTTTAATATACATAAATTATATAGGATAAGTTATACAATAATTAATACTATTTCCTATCTATACACCTTATCCTATCCTAAGTTATGCAATCATTTAATGTAGAAAAACCTGCAAAATTAATGCTTATTTTTAAGAATTGAGGGCATTTCCCCTATAATTTAGGTGTTAAATCCATTTAAAAATTGGGAGAAAAATATGTAATTAGCATAACTAATTACCAGTCTGTTAGGTTAATTAATTGTCAAATGTTTTCCGTATTTATTTTAATTTTATTTAATTTTTCTGTGTAATTTTTATTACAAAGACCGAAAATTTTACTTGATTATTGATTAAATTTGGCGTTGGAATGTATGTCTGACCTCCGAAATTAACCCGAAAATCTTAAGTTTATATAGGCTGAAAAGTTTCTGAGATTTTTTTTAATAACATACAGACATACGGACGAATGCTTAATTTTATTCCTTTAGCTTCCAAGAAGAGATATTAAAGCAATTTAAGGGAATTAAATACGTATATTTTATTGTTTTATGCGTTAATTTCAAGCTATAATCTTGGGTTCTTGGTGATTTTAAAATGAATCCGAAGAGGAAAGATGGATGGTGGATGCTGCAGATGTTTCTGATGAATAATAAATTAGAAAAGTGATGACAATTTCAATTACATGAACTTTGCCTTTTTTTTATTTCGACTTTTCTCGTCAGGTTTTCCTGCTGAAAAAATAATAAATAGCTCCTCTAGTTCACTTCTTTAATTAGGAGGCTTCAACCGACTCTTTTTATGATCCTTCTACAGCAATTAATATGGCAGAGGGATAATTAGATATCAGCCTCTTGAGGCCTCCTCTATCGTGTTCAACGGGTTGATATATGCTATTATATGTACTTATATGTAAGTTGTATGCTTTACTTGAGGCCTTGTTTAAAAATATTATTATATCTTTTGATACGTTTGGAATTTGGCCTTCTGTAAGATACTTTCGATTTAATGATTAAGTCTCGATGGAATTTTTGATTTATCAAAGGTCAGAGCCGTGGTGTCGAGTGAAATATTTGGCCAATGGTTCCTTTAACAACTCCCGGGGCTTGAGAAACGTCAAATGGGGCCTTACCCTCTCTCGTAAACGTGGGGTCGCACCCCTTTCCAAAGGCCATAAAAACAAATTTTTCATCGATTATCAAAAGATATATTACTTTTGAGGGTCCTCTTTGCTAGGACCATTTTTGAAAAGCCTTGTAGGAATCTCTATGTCTATAGCAATGCATTGCAATCATCATTTATGAAGCGAAAGGTCTTACTGGTTCCCTTCTATCAATATATCTGAAGCAATGTACATTGTTTATAAGGCAAAAGGCCTTAATGGTACCCTTCTATTTGTGTCTGAAGCAACGCATTGCAATCATTACTTATTAGGCAAAAGGCCTTACCTTTCTGTGTATGAAACAACGCATTGTTTATAAGAAAAAAGGCCTTAATGGTACCCTTTTACCTATGTCTGAAGCAGCGCATTGCAACCATTCTTTATAAGGTCTTTCAGTTCAGAAATGATCCATTACTTAGAATTCTAATTACCATATATTTTTTAAAATTCTTTTCCTGTGAACAAGTAGGAGTCTAATTTATTAATATTTAAAAAATAATATGAAGACGATTAGGATCATAATTACTGTATTTTTAATATGAACTTGGTTGATTTGGCTTCTAATTTTTATTATTTTATATGTGCCTAATTGGTTAGGATCCTAATTATTAATTCTTGCTATGAAACTGGTTCGTTGGGATCGTATAAAATCTTAGTTATTAACCTCTTTTTTTTTTAAATTACGAACTGAATTAATTAAGACCCTGCTAAGGGTGCTAATCTTTAACATAAAACTGGTTCGTTAGGATTCTACTCACTCGAATTTAATATGAATCTCGACATTTAGGAGCCAAGTTGCAACAATTTTTATTATGAACTCGGTTGATGAGGCTCCTGTTTAGAAATTTTCGTATGAAAAAGTTCATTAGGCTCCTTACGACGGTCGAACCTCTCTGAACGATGGCCACTGACGGGGACATTAAAAATCTTGCCCCCTTTTTTTTTGGAGGTTATTTTGTGTACATTTTTGGTCCATGAAAAATGTCCGTTATTGCAGGTTCGACTGTAGGCCTATTCGATTATTTTTAGTGTAAATTTCGCTGTAGGAATTTATTAATTGTTATTACATATTATGAACCAATTAACCTTTTAAACAGGGCCGCATGAGGCCCGTGGTAGAGTGTGCCCAATCCATTTGCCATATTTCTGTAACAAATGAAAATACATAGAATGTTTCTTCTGTGTTAGCAAATAGAAGCTTTAATGATTTTATTTTTGTTAGTAGACATTCATTTATAGTGTTAGGAACCCCTTAGGGCCATGGAAAAATCCCCATCTTTCCTCTTCTGACGGTCCTACTCTTAAATAATTAGATCCTTACTCCAGTTTATTTATAATTTTCACTATAAAATTAATTCGTTAGCATCAAATTTCATAAATGAACCCTCATTTATATTAGTTTAGGAATCTAAATTATTATTACGTTTACTACGAGGCCCTGCTAGGGCCTAACTGACTGACATAAGTGAATAGGATTTAAATAATTATGGTCTCAACTAATTGTGATAATTGTGGTTCGATTAGGAAACTAATTAGTAAAACCGTGAGCCTTATTTTTTAGTTAAGATCCTCGCAACCTCTTCTAAGTAATTAGATTCGAAGTTTTCATCCTATTTACTAAATTTTACTTTAAAAACTAATTCGTTAACATCCTGTTGACGTACAAACCTACCCACATTAGTTAGACCTACTTACTACGAGCCAATTACTAATCACCAGCGTTTAGTATGACCTCCAAGGACCTAATTAATACTATTCTTACCAAGAATACTAAACGTAGTTAATAAATTTTATTATAAAACTACTCGTCAGTAGCCTGTTTTTTTAATTTTTCAGTGTAAATCTCACGCGGTAAGTCCCTAGCTTATACTGTAAATTCACTTAGACCGAATCCCGAATTGGACTACTGAAGAAATTATGTGATTAGGATCTTAGTTACTAATGGATCTCTTTGTATAGTCCATTAAGATCCCGTTTATAAAGTTTTCCACCGTAGACTTAGCTAATTAGGAGCGTTAATTAGAGTTAAGATCCTTAGCACGAGATGTAGATGCGTGTTGTTATCAAACCTTGGCACGTTGATTAGCACGTATCGACTGACGTAAGTGTAGAGAATAAACTTTAAGATCACACAAGGAGAAATTACATCTCAGACAGAATTACGTCATACGTTGACCTCGTCGTCGAGGAAAAGATAAATACGTCTGTGTGATACTACTTCCTTGATAAGAAAACCAATTGGTAACTTTATATCGGCAATTATATTTAGCGTATAACTCAATTATAAGAAACCACGAATTTAATTCGGTTCCTACCTCCAAATTCAATTAAGAAAAAAAAAACAATCAAAATAAATAAACAAATCACGCGATTTAACTCAATTATCTTCGATTTTCCGGGTTCCGAGATTTTTCTTCTCTTTTTTTTAAATAGGCCAATCAGGTATTTGCTTTTATAATCGGTTTAAAAACGCCTTTAATTTTTTTTATAATAGAGATTGTATGAACGTCTCCTATTGGTCGCCGTTTGTTATTTATTATTATTATTATTATTATTTTTTAATGAGTAAATTTAAAATGAGTTATGATTAATTACTACGTAACCAAAGCGAGAAAATTTCGTAATATCCTGTTATTAAGTTATTATTCGCAGATCATTATTGTTATAAACGTGAAATCGTCGGGGGTATGTCGCATTGACGTCATCTGGTTGAAGTCACGTGGAAGCTGTTCACGTCATTTTCAGCCATCGAATCGAATCCCTTTTTATATAAGTTTTTTTTTTCTCGGTCTCACGAGAAAATGTGATTTAAACGAATACAAGGAAGCTGTACCGAGAGACTGATACGAGAGGTTAAAGGTCAAGCCGTTCTAAGAACATTATTAGGGGTGAAAAGCGTGTAAAAATTCGCCACTCGAATCGTTACCTCAAGGTCGAATTTTTATGCTAATTTATTTTAAAAAAATTAAATTAAGTACGATAATAATAGACGATAAAAAGCGAAAATGGCGAAAAGAGGAACGTTCCGTGGGTCAAAAATGTATATTTGGTGCAAACAAGCCTCTTTGTATGGTCACATTCCTTCCCACAATTCAGTTGTAGGCCAAACGGGCAACTGGAAGAATGTGAGTCAGCCCCATTGTTAGCGAAGAGAAGTTCTTCCCTCGTCTAACCTTGACTACCCCCGCCCTATTCCTGGTGCAGGGGAACGTGCTGACGTCATGCCGGGGACCGTGAGAAAAGGGCTGTGGTATGTCGTGTGCCGGGGACAATGCAGCCACGTGGAGGGACCCGATAGCTCTCAATTACCTTGGTTCAGCCATGCAGTACACCGTGAAAAGCAGTCAGGCAAACCGGGGTCACAGCTTTGACACTTTCTCACGACTCCGGCTCCGTCTGTTGCCCAATGACTGTACACACCTTCTGTGCAGATGACGCTCGTCTGCCTTGGAATTTTTAACTGATGGAACTCGCTAACAGATGTTGCACATCCACCTTTTTTTTATATATACATTTATACACTAAACGGTGAAGAAGTTACGCTGTAAACACCGAATTCGTCATCTGCCCTTTGCAATCGGCTTTAAAATACCATTATAACTACGGAAACTCGCGCTCTTTCCGGACGTTGTCTTCACGCAAAAGTCGAATTTTTATTTAAAAAAAAAAATACGTTTTTAAAGTAGAATAATCCAAGTGTTTGTGGTGGCATGCAAAATGGCGAAAGTAGAAATTGGTATATAAAAAAAGAATGCTGCCACAATTTACGAACAGATGTAACAACATCTCAGGAAGTGTGTGCAGAAGTTTAAAAAATAGGCAAAGGGGGTAGCAGCGCCCGTGTCCATACGCGTGCCAAGTAGAATAAGGAGCTTTGTGACAAACTGGTTCCCAGCCAACTGTGTGTTGTTTACATATGATATCCCTCGTATGTCGAAGGAGGAGGAGTCTTCCCACGTTCCTTCTCTACTGATAAAAACTTCTGGCACGTGCACAGACGGCGGCAGATGTCTTGGCGGGCAACCACTAACCAATCAGACGTCGCATGACGCGAGCCGACAAAATCACACACATCAACAGAACAAGGGTGGAAGGCTGTGATTGGCTACAGGACGTGGATCTGACCGTGGGAACAGCTCGGACGGTGTTATCTCAGGCTTGCCGCAGCAGTACGCCTGGATGACCTGGTCGACCATAAAACTTGCCACCACCGGCATTTTCCCACAGTTTGTGTTGGCACGCGTTCGACTCACGTCTCTGCTATCTACTCTTACTCACGTGCGGAACTTCTACACTATAGCTATGCCAGCCGAGAAGGTTGCAACCAAATCTAGCGAAACTCGCCGAGTAAGTTGAGATCTTCTATTTTATCCATTTTTTTTTTAAATTATTATAAATCTTTAAAATTTTAATTTATTTTTATTTTTATAAATCTAATAAATTTCTTTTTTTTTTCTAATTTTAGAGTACCAAACCCATTATGGAGAAGCGTAGAAGGGCGAGGATTAATAATAGTTTAACCGAATTGAAGAATCTGATCTTGGATGCTCTGAAGAAAGATGTAAGTATCTTTGGGTTTTTTTTTTGTGGATTTTTATGCTAGTTCGAAAAAGTTCAGTTAAGGCCAACGTAGCAGAGAAGGAAGGAAATGAAATGGGGCCAGTGAACATGTGCTGCTTGCCTGACTTGTCGGTGCGTGCAAGCCACGCTCCCTGCTACCCTTGGGCGATACACGTGGCAGTTTTTACTTCTTCCCACAGATACGTTGGCCAGCTGTGCTGCTTCTATAACAATGGAATATCTCTGCTAATTTGGCTCTAGCTGTTTAGTTATTTGTCATGATTTTTAACCTTTATAATCTTTGTACTTATCCATATTTTTTTTTTAATTAATTTGCAGAATGCTCGACACTCGAAATTAGAAAAGGCTGATATTTTAGAAATGACGGTTAAACATTTACGTAACTTACAACGTCACCAAATAACAAGTAAGTTGATTATCTCCACGAGATCTCTAAGAAAAGTTTTATATAAAATCTTAACACATTTTACTTATTGTGTTTTTTTTTTCTTTTCTTTAAACAGCAGCCGTAATGGCCGACCCCAACGCAATTGGAAAATATAGATCAGGTTTTAACGAATGCGCTAATGAAGTAAACCGTTATCTGAACCAAGTGGAAGGAGTGGACACGGCGGTCAAACAAAGGCTTTTGAACCATCTCGCAAATTGCCTGACCAGTTTGCATTCTCCTCCACAATCTCCTACCAACTACCCCCTGAAACCCATCCACGTACAAGTACCCGATTCGCCTCTTCACACCAAAGTTTTCGAAGGAGTTCACCTCTTGCCCACCAGATTATCGACAGGAGAATTAGCATTCCTGGTACCACAGTCGCAGATAGACTTGTACAATCCTGCAACAGTTCCTATCAGTCCTGCAACGTCTACAAGTCCCGTAACAGTATTGGGTTCCGGTATCCTAAGCCCCGCTTCCAGCGATAGATCGAGTCCAGTATCGCTTACACTATCCAGTCCATCATACGAATCCGTTTCTCCTGTTCCCAACGTTAAAGTGCCTACAAATCGGGTATGGAGACCGTGGTGAACGGTTTTTCTATGTGTAAATAAACTCTACCTCCGAAGATTATCTGTGATATTACAAACAAACAAACAAAAAATTCCGGTTTGACCAAAATGTGCCTTACAAGAATTTGAAAATAATTTATTTTTACATATGTACATAATCATTTGTAATCATTAAAAAGAAAAGAATTTTTAAAATTTTAAAGCTTGTCTGTCCCGTTCTTTTCTCTTCTAAAGCTTCTCTCTTTAACTAGCGGGGAGTAGATGAATACAATAAGATTACATAAAAGTAATGATTGTGTAACTCTTAAAAGGGGGTGAAGCAGCTGACGGGCTATGACGTCACCGGTAGGTCGTGGGAACTAAGAAGTGCAGCCTCTCATGATAAGGGTATAGGATTAGAAGGTCATCGCATCGTAATTACATCCCACGTCTGCTCCTAGTTTTCTGATATTTGTCTTGCCGAAATTTTAAGATACTCTCTCTCTCTCCCTCTTCAAAAATTTACATTTTAAATTTAAAAATATCGCAATTAACTTAAAGTATTTTTCATTCAAGCATCTCTAAAGGCACTTTTAAACATGTTCACATCTTTTTTTTTTAAGTAGAAAGATTTCAGAGATGAAACTTCAAGATGAGAGAGAGAGAGAGGGGGTCAGAGTAAAACGGAACACTTCCGCACTTGAAAAGCCATTTTTTAAATGATTTATCTTCACCTTTCTTTAATTTATTAACCTATAAACATTCTCACGCGTGTTTTTGTGCTCTACAAAGCATTATTACTCTTTGAATTTCGTTTGGAACACTCATTCTTTAGCATGGTTTCGCTACTTTTACGCGTTATCTTTTGAATGTTTACGGGTTATTTAAAGCTTTTATGGCATAAAATATGATTTATAATCATATAAATTTTATAATTATTAAGCATATTAATACTTATTTATGATATTATCCATTGATTGATGTCCATGAAAGCGATCTTCTTGAAGAGCCGCCCGCCGCTCGCTGCTCGAAGTAATGGTAATTTACCTTTTTTTTTTTTTTTTAACGATAAAATGGAACATTTTTTTAGTGTAAATGTTAAAGTATCTTTATTTAAGTCGAATATATTAGGATTAAACGGTTATCAGCGATGTAAGATTGATAAAGGTTATCGTCCGTCGCACTTTCTTTTCGGAATACAAGTGAACAAGTGTACAAAAGTCAAGGACAAAGTCGGATATCAACAAAATATATATAAATAAGAGTGCATTGTTCTCTGTAAATATCATTTTTCCATCTATGTAGGAGGTTTAAATTCTTGAGAATTAATGTTTGTAATGATATCGAAAAAGTCCCTTAAAAGTTTGTTTATGTTTTATCTAAATTATTTCGCCGAACTTTGACCCTTAATGATGCTCACTGCAGTCTATAAATGAACCGAGAAGTTTATTTATAAACCCGAATCATAAATTTTCGAATCGATAACGTCAAGGAAAAATTATCCGAATAGCAATTTTTTTTTTTTTTTTTTTTACCAAACGACAAAACCAATTGCCGGATGGCAACACTAAAACACATTTTTAAAAAAAATGANCAGTAGTCATCCCCCCAGAGAAAAGGGATTGTAATTTCATGAGAACCTATCACGATTCGACGTTTTAACTTTATAAATCGCTTATATATCATGTTAAATGTATATTCAGGAGATTAAAATAACGTATCCATTGTTTTATTTCTTTTATTGCTTATTTTTTAATGTTACTATCTATTGTTTTGTATGTAAATAAGTATCACGTATGTTGCAGATGTTGAAAACGTGACGATATCCGTACCTATTGTAATATGTTATTAATAGAAATTATGTGTTATTTGTACGAAACAAATGCAAATTACAATTTACAAAATTTGAATATTTTTTATTATTATTGAGCGACCTTCACGTAATAATCATAATTGAGGCTCGTTAGATTCAGTGGCGCTTTATACCTATGAGCGAAAAAAAAGGGAAACTGTATGAGGCCCTCATCAACAGGAAACCCCAAACCAATCTTTTTTAAACTCATTGTTGTAGTAAGGATAACGAAATTTAAATTTGGCGTCATATCTGGGCATCGATCATCCGGAGGTTCAGTACAGATCTTCCAGAGATCGCGTTAAAAATTAGGATATCAGAGAATTCTCCCAAAAATTCCTCGAAGAAAAATGTCTGAAGTCAACATTACGTGGGGCCCCCTTATTCAAATTTGCCTGGGCCCCACGAAGCTGTAACGCGCTACTGTTAGGTGTGTTCATCGGTACGAAATTTGAGAAGTTTCAAGAGAAAATTTTCAGATTTCTGCCCTTAAAGTGGGGAATAGCATGGTTCTGATATGTAGAATTTGGCTATTTTGTTATGATTTGTAAACCCCTTAAATTAGCATAATTGAAGCTGTCTAGATGTAGGCATTGGTATGAAATTTGAATATATCAGGGGCTAAATTTTAAGATTTTTCCTTAAAGTTGGAAATAATATGATTCTGATATGCAGAATTTGGCTATTTTTTGGGGTATACAACAATTCGGTAGGCAAAACGTGATACATCCCAAATAGGTACGTTAAAGTTGTTTAATTTAATGGAGAAATGCACAAAGTAACACAGTTTTTAGCAGGATCTATGTTAAAATTTATTCTAATTTATATGCCATTTTTTGCGTATATCCAATTAATTTTCGGCACTAAAAAATTTGATACAAAAAGTTTTTAATATAATGAAAGGTTACGCGTGGAATAGGGCAAGTTACGATAAGATCTATGCAAAATTAGAGGTATTTTTTTTCGTATTTTTAAATAATTTTCTCGCTAAAATATCGATTCAAAATTTAGTATAAAAAAATATTTATTATAATTAATTAAAGAATAAATTTTATGCTACTTGGCACAATATTTTTTCTCCTGTTTACAAACTGAATATTTAAAATTTTGAGTCATCTCTTCGCTTTGACGTCATGGCGTTCGGTCTCTATCTAAATATAATATTTGCAGTGCCATCTGTTGAATTAATTAATAGTTACTGAATTTAAAAAAAGAATTTTTATCACTTGATTATCTTATAATGAGAATGTGTTGTATACGTTTTAACCTATTGTTTAACTGAACAATACTAAATGTCACGAATGTCAACCGCAGAATGTCGTTTGAACTGACAGTTAGCTTTTTTTTTTTTATTATTGGGCCTCTCAACTTAAGAAAAATTACTTTTTCTCAAAATTTACCTTTTTTTTTCTCCTTCTTCTTCTTTTAAAAGTAAGGTTGACCTTCCCAGCGGCATCTCGTGTAGCATTGGGTGGAAAAAAAGGAGATTGTGGTAGCCTATGGGCATGCTAAAGTCAAGTTATACACTTGGCGTGCCTAGGGACATATGCATTAAGTAGACATTAAACAGGGCATAAGCCGTGTGATATATTTTCGTTTATTGAAATTAGTTTGTAAATTGCTTTTTTTTAATATATATATTGGAAGTTTTAATAATAAATCAGGGGAATGGAATTTACTGTTGTGCTGTATCCAGCTGATAGGACTGGACATCATCATAACTGCAATAGAATGTTATTGCATAGATTTTTCTATAGGATACCATGTCATTGCTTCATAAATTTGTATACCCTACCATACAGGATATCATACAGTACCATAGTTTTGTTCCATAGATTTTCTATAGGATGCCACACAGTATTTGTCCAACAGATCGGATATAATATAAAATCTAGTAATTTACATAGCTGTACAGGATATTACTCAGTTTTCAAACAAAATAACCCAATATCCTGTATAAACCCGATTGCATTCTGTGAAGATACTAAGATTCGTATATCATCGTTTATACCGTAAACTGTCTGAGATTAGCATATAATATAGTATTTTGTACAGTGAACAATCATTACAGGATTATAGTTCACCCGTCATTACACACTAATCAGTAGCTTGGCAGCTGTAATTTATACAGGGTAACATCTATTGTACACGATTTAATAACGTATTATACGCAACAAACTAGTATGGTACAGTAGCCTGTCCTTGATTATAACGTTTATCAGATGGCCTCGCGATAAGATATTAGCCTAACGCTATCGGAAATTTGGGTTCGAATCCCGGTCAGGGTCATCATAAAATTTATCGTGAAAGCGCGGGTCAAGGTGTTTCTGGATACCCTTCACCCGTGTTTGAGGCTCGTTTGTAATCCAGGCCTACTATAATGGGCGAAAATGTGACTAGCCATGTGCCAGTGTACCACGGTGTCTATAATTCGTACAGGATAGCATCAACAATCTTGCATAAAATATCCTGATTGATTAATTTATTAATGATATACAGTCGACCCCCTATAACACTGTTGATTTTTCCGTTTTATTCTATTTCGCCTTATTTTTCTCGATTCTATTCCCTATTTCCCTGTTTCCCCGATTTTATTTTCTAGTTCTTTTAATTTTCCCCCATTTTATTCTCTATTTTACTTTATTTTTCCGATTTTATTCTCCATTTTCCTGTATTTTCCCGATTTAATTTTTCTGTTGTTTTTCTCATTTACCTCAACATTATTCACTATCTTGTTATCTGTTCTTTCGTTATTTCCCTGACTTTATTCCCTTAATTAGGGAAAATGTGGGGAAAATTAGAAAAAAGAGGGGAAAATATTTCTATTTCTTCCTCTTTTTTCTAATTTTCCCCACATTTCCCACCTCTCTTTTCTAATTTTCCCCACATTTTCCCCCTTTTTTTCTAATTTTCCCCAGATTTTCCCTCTTTTTTCTAATTTTCCCCACATTTTCTTTAATTTTATACCCAATTTTCCTGCTCTTTCCCCACATTCTTACACGAAAGCAAATAAATTTCTCATGATCATTATTTAACAAAATCCGAAAGAAACACGAACTTAATCTCACTTCCACGTTTAGAAAACAGCCAGGGGGAATGAGTTATTAGAATCTCATATTATATATATATATATATATATTTCTATAGACGCTCGACAAAGGAGTATTCAAACAAACAAGTAAACTTACCCACTGTCCAGCATTGAAAACCCTTTACCCTTGACCTGTTTCTACAGGTGTAGAAGAAAGGCATCTATGGAACAAGTTAAAAAGTTTTTCAAGAACACCTGCGCTTTGTCATTGACACGGTCAAATTTTTTTCCACTCCCCCCTCGACACATTGAAAGGTGAGACGTTTAACTGAAAAAAAAT